TGACTGAGAAGCAATTAGAAAGTAATAACTAAAGTGGATTAATATCTGGATTTTGAGGTTCACAAACTAAAACCTCACTGTGAATGTTTTTTTCTACAAAGAAACAGACGCCTTTTTAAATTAATGGTATGGGTAAAACAATAGGGCTACAGTGATTTCAGGTATAAGGATAAAAAGTAGGACAGTTTTCAGGGGCAAAGATCAGAGTCTTCTGGTGTAACCAAGTACTGGAATGTTTGCTTACATTTTTTTGACTTGTGAGTGGTCTGGCTGGCAGCAAGGATTTGTTAAGGGTTTGGATTTAGTACGGGTTTATAAGCTAAAAGGGACTTTCTGATTAGGACTAAGAGAGCAGAACAGACCTTCTTCCGGCTGAAACTTTATCTGGGGCTATTTTAAAACTGGAAGAAGAATTTCTGGAAAGTATTCCTCCATTCACTACATTACTTCAGAAAGAGGTACACTTTAAAATAACTAAACAAGGATTTTTCAGTTCAGCATATCAGTTACCACATCACAGTTACAAATTACAAATTAGAATTTAAGGCGAAGACAAATATTAACTTAGCCTTACTTAACAAGTAGAATAGTAATGATAAAGGGAAGTATAAATTTCATCTAAGATCACACAGTCAGAAGTCAGAATTAGGATCTACCCTGTCTTTACTTTTATCACTAGAGAATATTTTTTAAAAAGTACTGCAGTGTCTTGCCAAAGTGGTGTGAACCATGCTTACTTTAGAAATGATATATCATCATTCTTTTGCTGTTTAGTATGTTAAGGACTCATGTTCGAATCCGTGCATTTTTCAAAAACCATTCCAAGAACACAGAAGGTAGCATGATGAATTATGGGAAATATTTTAAAAAGAATATAAACTGCAAAACGCTAGAACAAAAATGCAATTTAAAAATAACCTTACCTTAAAAAAATTATAGAACTGTCATCTTCCTCAGGTATACAATATATACTGGCATAAAAACTGACAAGATGCTCAATTATTAGTCAAATGTATTCTTAAATTTTATGAGTATTCATTTGTACTATATACAATAATCCCATTATTTAAAAGAATGAATTTCTCCCAAGAATTCCAAATACATTACAGATGTTATTACATGAATTCTCACAGCAAATCTCTTGAAATAAGACAAGGGCAGGTACCATAATCTCAACCTGAATCATATTACAGATTCATTCAAAAGTTTAAATAAGAATTTCCCAAGGGGTTTCCATCCAGAACCCTGTCTTTTTTCCCTAAGAAAATTAAATTTATTATAATAATGACTACTTTCTGAGTTTCTCATATATTTTTCAGAAAGATTATCAGATTCAAGGTGGAACCAGAGCCTTTAAAAACAATCTAAAAAAAGTTTCAGAATGTCAAAGAAATGGGAGTAATTAAAAATTTTAGAATGCTAGTTATAATTACATGAATGAATACATTCAGTTTTATATTCATATATTTTGGGAGAATTTTACGTATTATACACATAGCTGTATATATATATATACACACACACATACATAATATATGGCAACTCAAACATTTAAAAAATGAACTGCTATCTATGTACATAAAACTTCAGGATTGCCTTTTTCATGTTTAGTTAAGGTTAATTACTATAAAATTATTGGCTCTCTAGCCTGTGATTTCTGGATAATGGAGTACTGTTTCAGAAGTTACAAAAGTAAAATGTAAGTAGATTATTATTTTGAGCAATTTTCAAAATTGTTATCTTTAGTTTGCCAATTCAAAATAATTTTACCTAACTCTATGGCTATCCACCTTGAAAATCAACTCCAATCACTGGGATCATGACACTTGTTCTACAGAAAAATAAGTACCATTTAATAATTTTTAAAGCAAGGATCATTTTTTATTGTCATTGGGATATGGTCAAAGCAGTTAGTATCTGGATATAATCTATAATGTCACACGGTTTTATCGCTAACTTGGGTTATTATCTAAATTTGCCTTAATAATCTATTTGTTGCTTTAAAGGAAACTTCTTAAAAACTACTATAAATTTATCGGATTCTAGAATCTAGGGTTTAGGCTACTACTGCTGTAGGCATACTGGGTTTCTGATATAATTTCCATTTCAGAAAGCTATGTTCAGCAATTGTATAGTTAGAGTTAGCCAAAATAAACAAACTCCTGATGTATCTGACATGTGATATTACCAAATACCACACAGAAACGGAGACTGCATAATAAAGGCATGGCTGTAATGAAGGTGAAAATTCTACTTTGTAGGGCTATCACATTTATTTCAGTAAGTTATGGTTAAATGACTTATCCAGGGATATCACCTCTATGGGTATTTGTACATTTGAAAATGAAAAAATATACATATATAGTCTTCAGTTGTGTACAATCATGCCCTGAGTGCTGAAATGTGGACATTCACCTATCCACAAGGAGCCCTCAGGCACATTAATGTGCTGGCACATCATGTTTCCCAAAAGCACATGCATGTGTGTGTCTATTTCAACCCTTAACAATTGCTCAACATCACTCTAAACCATTTTCTCTTCCATAAAGCTAATTATTACAGATCTTCCCAAAAGAGAAGTTCACATTTCCTTGATCACAGCTATACTCTCAATACCTAGGAAGAACCCTGGGAACCCTGGGCTTCTTGCCCCAGCAGAGCACTGCTCATTCCTGCAGATTCATATGGGACTTGGGTTTCAAGTTCAATGATTCTTCATTGAGATACAATGAACTTATCTAAATGTATTCTTGTTAGCACTGGCATCTAGACTGAAATGAACTAAACTGCATCATTTCATATTAGGAGAAATCTAATATGCATTAATTAAATAGTCAATCATGAATACCATTTATAAGAAATAATTCCTTTAAGTATATTTTCTAAGTAATACATTTTATATCACATAAGGCTAACAATATACATGATGTAAAAGTCATCTATTGTACCAAGATGATTGAAATATTTGGCAGATAAACTTCTTGTGCTGCTATAATTATCCCAAAGCTGTTTAAAGAGGCTCCATGCTGCAGCATGAAAGTACATTAGAGAATACAGCACATTTCCTGAGTGCAGAACTGAAATTTCTCTTAAAATTTCAAGTGTGTGTTAAAACATTAAGTCATAGGGCATCACCTTGACACTGTGCTTTAATTCATGTTGCTTTGAGAAGCCAAGAATTTGGTGTAAATACATGTAGTTTGAAAGTTTCCACAGTTATTAAAATAGTATAATCCATTTTGTCACCAATTCCCTGCCCTGGGACAAGAGACGTGAATTTGTATTCTGGCAATGAAATCTAGAATCAAAAAAAAAAAAAAAAAAAAGAAAAGAAAAACCTATAGATTTCCAACTTTAGCAATATGACAACTTGGGTGTTTTGTTTTATTGTGAAAAAGATCCCTCAAAGTTCTCCCAGCTGGCATTCCATATGACAACCTTGGTGAGGGAAAAAACAAATTCAGCAGCCAGGTGTCTGGCACCTAACACTAGACAAAGATGACCATCAATATTTAAGCACCTAATCCTTTAAAGTGTGAATAATGTTTATATGAAAAGCTGGCAACAATACAGAATGTGGTTACCTTAATTTAATAATGAGTTGCATCTCTGAATATATTTTAGGAAGAATTTCTATTATTCAAGAATCCTAAAGGAAGATATTAACTGAGGTGAATGTGGGAATTTGTATAAGTCAATGCATCTAAAGGACAACTTCTTTTGGTAGTCATTAAACAAAAAGTACATTTCTTGGTTAGGTGCGGTGGCTCATGCCTGTAATCCCAGCATTTTGGGAGGCCAAGGTGGGCAGATCACTTGAGGTCAGGAGTTCGACACCAGCCTGGCCAACATGGTGAAACCTTGTCTCTACTAAAAATACAAAAATTAGCCGGGTATGGTGGCATGCACCTGTAATCCCAGCTACTTGGGAGGTTGAGGCACGAGAATCACATGAACCCAGTAGGCAGAGGTTGCAGCGAGCTGAGATCATGCCACTGTACTCCAGCATGGGTGACAGAGACAGACTCCATCTCAAAACAAACAAACAAACAAAAAACAAAGTACATTTCTTAACAGATATGTAAAAAATATACAAAACATTTAATATATATTATATAATACATAATATACATATTATATAATGTATATATTTTGTGTGTATGTATACAAAACAGCTGACAATTATTTCCCAATTTTTTAAGTTGTTCAATGGATTTGGTTCTCAACACAACAGACAGAACAGGTACCCTAAGGATCACATCACATTTCCAAAAGCACATTGATTATTCACAAAAACCTACAACTGCAAACTTAGAGGCATCTTTAAACATCACTAAAATTTGCAGAGGCATGATACATTTGCTGACCATGTTCTAATAAAAACATTATTTAAAGTAGTAGGTTCCTTTTGTCAGTTAAAATTTTACATGTGAAAATAAGCTTTCTTCAAGTGTCATTTTGCTGTAAGGATTTACAGGATAAGGCACTCTCTCAGTCTGCATGACCTTGCTTCCAGCCTCAGAGCTTACTGTGTACACATTAAATTAGTATCATAACACTGCAACAAATAAAAAGAATAACCTCATAAGAGAGTGCAAGGTATTGCTCTTCAATTTTTCAGTAAAGATAGAAATGAAGAGACGAAACTAATGCAACTGTATAAATTAGAATGGATAGCCATACATCTCTGAAATAATGAAAATATGTAAACTGATCAGACTTTTGATGTCAGATTTAGATGGTAGTAGACTAGCTGTAACACTGACATTAAAATTCTGCTTTTGTAAGAAATTTATAAGAAGGAAGGTCAATAACTATATTTTCTTCTATTAAGACTAATCCTTCACTATTTCAATACTGAACTAAATGACAGCTTTACAAAACTATTTCAAGTAATATTCATTATCACAGTGAAAATGTGAGACCAATGTTAAGAGTGAATGATTTGAAAACTCCTTTGATGAAAAAGGCAAGGGTACTAAATCAAAACATATACAAAATGCTTCAACGCATTTCTTTATGTGATATGAATAGAAAGATTATCCATACAAAGTTAGAAAAATTAAGATAAATTATATATTAGTACACCTTCCCAACCACAATTTATATAAAAATTCAGAACAGTGTACTGTTATTTCAATCTACACCATAAAAACGCCCGGACTTGGCAGATGATCTTCTAACTGTGATGTATTTTCTCAGTAGAAGGTTTAATTGTTGCAGTCACTTTTTAAAAGTTTAATTTTCATTGTTAACCTTACTGAATCATCAGTAAACCCAGCTGATTGGGACCCACTGCGGTTCCATTCTCAGTTTCTCTATGGCAGTTTGTAGTTTTTCAAAGGCTTTGTCTAGATTGTCATTTATGATGATCAAATCAAAATAGTGGTTGTATGCTCTCTGAATCCGCGCACTTTCATCCACTGTTTTCTTTAAGTCAGAGTCCTGTTGAAGAGTTTTAAAAGGAAATGTTTGTATTACAATGCATATTTACTTGCTCAAACTCCAACTAGAAGTGAATATAATAAATAGGTTAGATGTATTTCTGGTAATTCTGGTATTAATCCTCAAAATCTAATCCATATAGTGTTAAAGACAACGCTGCCATCTGTTCATGTCTTATTCTTTCCAACAATCCTCATGTTTACATTTATGAGTATTCTGCATCTTCTGTTTGACTGATACTAAGATAAAATTCCTAATTAAAAGACTGCTGACAATAATCTCGGAGTGAATAATACTGTAGTGAATCTACAGTAACAAAAGAATTACTATAGGTGACTGGTTTCTAGCTCCACTATATTATCCTTTTTGAAAGATTTTTATCTTATGGCCTATGTACATCATGGAACCCAATTTGTAGTGGCTGTTAAGCTCAAAGCCAAATTTGCTACCTTTCTCTAAGATAGGATCACAGAATCTTAGAAGTGTTTTTTGAAGATTAACCTTACATGCTGCCCATCCTCCACCAAAACACATACTCACATACGTTTATTTATGTTTTTGTCCAGGCACTGTTCATATTTCATAAAGTAGTTTTAGTCATTGTGGAATGATGTGGGGAGTACATAAGCAATGGGTTCTACATGAGTAAAGCTTTTTGTAAGATGGTGTTTTGATTTTCACTATACTTCTATATATTCTACAAATATTTATTGAGTTCCTATTAAGGTGTCTACTATGTTTCAGAATCAGTGGGTATAACAATGAATAACAGAGAGGGTTCCTATCCTTTAGTGGAGGAGATAAAGAGGAAATAAATATAAAAAATTCCAAGTTGTGATAACTATCATGAAAGAAACAAAACAGGCACAAAGAATTTTAAGAGATCTACTTTAGATAAAGTGATTGGAAAGAGACTGAGTAGTAAATGACAGTTAAGCTGAGAACTAAATGAAAATAAGGAGGTCAGCATCCAGGCAGAGGAAACAGCAGGGCAAAACCCAGAGGAAGGAAACGACCCTGGCACGTTCAAGATACTGAAAGAAGACTGGAATGGGTGAAGGGCTAGGGAACAAGGTAGGTCATGGAGGACCTCTATGTGATCGAAAGACCTTTGTGGGCCTCAAGTGAAAATGTGGCATGACACGAGTGGAAGCAGGGAGACTGATGGCAGGAATCCAGGTCAGAGAAAAGGGCTGCCTAGATTATGATGGTGACAGAGGAGATGAAAATGACACCAGATTGGAAATTTATTTTGGTGATAAAATAATCAGGATTAGTTTTTTACATCATCCAGGATTTGAAAAGTGAGGAAAATGAATGAGTCATGAATTGCTCTTAGGTTTCTAACTAAGGTAAATGGGTGGCTGTGTGAGATACAGAGTGGAGGGGTGGGGAGAGCATAATTTCTGGGGGAAACAAAGTGTACTACTTTGTAATATGGTAAGCTTAAGATGTTTGTGAGACATCCAAGTGGAGATGTAGAGCAGGCTACTGGTTATGCAAATCAGAGCTCTGAGGTCTGAGCTAGCTGTATATAAATCATTAGCATAACAATGGCACGAATGTAAATGATGTTGATGGAAGCACCCAACAACATCATTTGTGTAGAAAGTGTAGAGAGAGAAGCGGATTCATTGCCAGGCCTGAAGGACCCTAATACTTCCATTTCAGCTAACACTGAGATTTCTAAATGAGTTTGAAACAACTAAAATATCTCTGATTACAGATATGCAAACAGGCCACAGTTCAACTTGAAAGCAATTCTTGCCTATTATAGCCATTAGCAATTTGATTTGTTAAAAAAAAAAAAAAAAAAAAAAAAACCTGTTAACAATAATGGAGTATGCCATACAGATGGAACAGGAAATAAAGATTCTCTCTCTGGCTATCGAGTGTTCTCCAGGATATAATGATATGGGAAAAATGCAGGCACATTTTGTACATAAGGTACGATTTATGTATAAAATGGCGGAGGGGGGGAGGATACACAGGCACACTTGCTTATATTGGAAACTAATATGGTAAAATGGCTAGCAATAAAGGTAGCCAATGTGAGTGGGAGGAAACAAAGGGAGAGGGAACAGAAAAGCTGGATTTGTTTTAAGATTTATGTTGGAGCAATGAAAATGTTGTAGAGAATTATACAACAAAATTTAAATTCAAATAAAAGCCATTCTTAAAAATCAGAAGCCAAATAAAACAAATAAGCCTGTGTTCCAAGTTGGTGGTTTAACCATGCAGCAAGGAATTATTTCAGTGGCTTTAAAAGAAGATAGTATCCAGTGGGTTATAAGTGGGAGGTGTACAATGAGAACACATGGACACATGGTGGGAATAATACACACTGGGGCCTGTCAGGGTAGGAGCACAGGGAAGGGAGAGCATCAGGAAGAATAGCCAATGGATGCTGGACTTAATACGTAGGTGATGGGTTGATCTGTGCAGCAAACCACCATGGCACACGTTCACCTATGTAACAAGCCTGCACATCCTGTACATGTACCCTGAAACTCAAAACAAAAGTTGAAGGAAAAAAAGAATCTAGTGGTATATATCCTAAGAACAATTAATAAAAGACTGAAACTTAAATCTTTTCACTAATCATATTGTTAATACAGGTATTACTCAGAAATTACGTATGTGCATGTACTTGTATTTATATACATGTAAGAAAAGAAATGATGTTAATATAATCACAAACCAAGGTTTTCAGGATAAGAGGGAAAAAAGGCAAATATAAAGCTAAAGAAGAAGAATGTAAAATTTCACTTGAAGCTTTCAAATTGAACAAATGATGTATATGTTTTCTAAAAACAAAAAATTTATTTCCTACCTCTGGTTACTGAAAAGGTCTAAAAACAACGTCCAACTGAGTTTAATGTATACCCTTACTGTCTGAATTATCTTTAAATGCTATCTCCCACTAAAAGAAACAAGGGCTTCTGGATGGCTGGTTCCAGGTCTGGGCCAGGAAATGTAGAATAATCTGGAGCATCGTGTCATATCAGAAAGCAAGGAATTATCAAACACTACTAGAATCGTGTTAAAAAGACTCAGAATTCAAGTTGAATAGGCTCCTACTAGCTGAAGACACAATAATTTAAACATTAAAAAGAATAACCGAACTAAATACACAGAGATAAGGTACTTCAAGTGACTTTAAAACATAGTGATCTTCCTGGCCAACAGGGTGAAACACCATCTCTACTAAAAATACAAAAGTTAGCTGGGCGTGGTGGCACGTGCCTGTAGTCCCAGCTACCCGGGAGGCTGAGGCAGGAGAATGGCTTGAACTCGGGAGGCAGAGGTTGCAGTAAGCCGAGACTGCACCACTGCACTCCAGCCTGGTGACAGAAAAAAACAAAAAAACAAAACATAGTGATCTGACTGTATATACTTAGTGGGATATATTCTAAAGACAGAAAGAACTAGGTGGGGAGCTGGGGGGACTGTTCACAGTAATGATACTAGTGGTGGTTGTGTTGATACACTTATTCCCAGAATGTTGTATTTGTACTGTGGAATAAAGCAAATGAGCAATTATATGATATTCTAATTCTAACATTTCCAGTGTTTATGAGAACTGGGATATTCAGCATAAGAGAAAGGAATTAGGCATATAAGATAAAATAAGTTAAATAAAAATCCTGTGATCTTGAATTTGATTGGAAAATATCAGAATAAATTCATGATATATTTTCCTTCAAACATACAAACAGAAAAGCATATATGCTAGCACTGTCCACATAAAAAGGCCTAGCAAGAAGCAGTGAGCAACTCTGTGACAATGGGCGCTGTGAGTATTATGGTCTTAAAACACTATTTACCCTAAAAGAAACCAGAGTATCTTGGAAAAATGGCTGGTTCCTGGCCTAGAACAGAAAATATACAAGATGAGCCTGGAACATTCGTTCTACCAGATAGCAAGGAAGCTACCCAAGACTATCAGGGTCATTAAAAAAAAAAAAGGTCTCAAGGGCCAACTAGAATAAGCTCCTATTGGTCAATGATGGGACAATCTTAGCACCAATAAGAATAATCACTGCAACAGAATAAAGCACATCAAATAAGTTTGAACACATGTGCTCAAGAAATTGAAAAAACAAAGCCAATCTCAGCTGGTCACCTGTAACCTCTAGAGGCTCTTGGGGAATAAACTCATTATTCTGAAAGCTGACCTACAAAGGATAGTATCAAAGATGTATCCTGCCTTTCCTGTATCAACCGTACCTCAGAATAATCAACTACTTGATGAGGAAAAGTTCTTTTTAAGAATTCTATTTTATAAACATAGAAGGAATGACACACTTAGAATACTACCACTTTGCCATCCCTAAAAAAATAACTTATCCAAGGCAAAGATCAATAAAGTTTGCTAAAACCATTAGGTAAAGAATTACTGAGGAACTTTATAGATCAGGCTAACAACTTCTGACCCCACTGATTAATCTCATGACAAAAAGCCTGACGTATGCCTCATGATGTAATAAAACAAGTACCACCTATGAATTATTCTTGCAAAAACCAACCAACCACCAACCAAAACCTGAATCTGTGTCTGCCCAACCCTCTAGATCGACCTATCAGTTTACAGGAAATAGAAGGGATAGAGGAAAATGATACAATGGGGGCAGAATGGGTAAAATCCAGATTATGGAACATGCTGTAGGATAAATGACCTACTTTTTTTTTTTTTTTTTTTAAACAACTAAAACAATGTGAAAAGAGAGGGGAGGGAGGGTGGCAGTGAGAATTTACAGATTAAAAGGTACTAAAGGGACATCTGCTTCTAGCCAAGGTGGAATAACAGGCACCAGACTACCTCTCCCACCTAACAATTAATTTATGGACAAAATGTATGAAACAGTTTTTAAGATACTATACATCAAGATATTAAAAACAGATCACAGAAAGATAGAAAACAAATGAAGTGAGTCCTATGATTACTCCAGTTTACTGGCTTGAAAGAATTTATGGGTAGTAGGATAGAGAGAGTGAGCCCAGAGGAGCCTACAGGATTCTGAGTTGAAGACAGAGCTGAGCCCAGGGAGACCCAGGTGGCAAGAGTTTGCAGGACGGAACGCTGGAGGGGAAGAGCAGCACAGACAGACTTTGGAGATTTGTAGAAGGTCCTTGTCCAGCATTCAGTTGAGTACCAACCTGCACATGGGTACGACCTGAAGCTGAGAAAGAACCACCAGAAAGGATTAGAGGTACCCACGGATGGCACCTATTTCCCCTTAGCCAGAACAGAAAACCTCAGGACTCACAGGCCCTGTGGTAGGAGTACCAAATAGGTCTTGCCTTACTTGTGGGGAATAACTGGCCCTAAAATAAGAACTGCTTGGGTCTTACCCAACACATTTAAAACGTGAGACCTGAAAAAAACAAACTATTTCCAAATAACTGCATCCTAGAACAAAGCTCACAATGTCTGGCATCCAAAAAAGTTACCAGGATTGCAAAGAAGCAGGAAGATATACCCATAATAAAGAGAAAAATCATTCAATCAAAACCAATCCAGAACTGACTCACATGTTAGAATCTGCAAAGACATTAAACACTTACCATGTTTCATACATTCAGAAAGCAGAGACATGGATCAACTTGAAAAAGAACAAAGAAAACTACTACTACCTGATTTCATGGCATATAACCAAGTACAGTGGGGGGAAACAGTGAGAGTGGTGGGAGGAAGGGTGCAGGGAGCAGGTTACACAGGGAAATGTGTGGAGATGATGGACATGTTCATTATTTTGGTTGTAATGGCTTTCATGAATACAAATATATGGCCAAATTGATCAAGCTGGGCACGTTAGGTACGTACAGCTTACTGTGCATCAATTATACCTCAATTAAGCTGGGAAAAAGATTTAGGTGACGAAGTAAATTCAATGTGTTGATCTTGTTTGAATACTGATTTGAACAAATCAACTGTTAAAAAAAAACAACAAAACAAAACCTTGGAGAAACTCAAATATAGACTGCATGTAGATGACAGTAAGATACTGCTTATTAATTTTTGTTGTATTAATGGTATGTTTTAAATGTCTTTATCTTTTAGATATAAATATTGAGATATTTATGGATGACATGATATCAAAGATTTGCTTCAAAATAATTCAAGGAGAGGAGGAAGTGGGGAGGGGTCTAATTAAAACAAGAAATTGCCATGATTATTCAAGCTAGGCGATGGGCATAAGGGCTCCTATTTCCCCTTTTTTGCACAGATTTTTGAATTTCCATAAGTGAAAAAGGAGAGAGGAAAAAAAGGAAAAAACATGTAATAGAAACTAAACATCAGAACACCTGACTTTACCAATGATAAACCATATAATAAACATGCCTGTTAATGATCTTGGAGCCCAGTCACCCCACTAGTAAAATGAAGGCGTTCAATTAATATGCGTATTTTAATATTGGTCCATTTCATTTTACAAAGGGGAACTAAACTTTTGATTTAAAATAAAGTATACAATGATTTTCAAGTAAAAGAATACCGTTCCAGATCCTAACTACATCTAATTAATTTTTATTCTGTAGCACCTTATATAGCATGTTTGTTTCATAGCATAATTAGCTAAGAGTTGGCCAGGCATGGTGGCTCCCGCCTGTAATCCCAGCACTTTGGGAGGCCAAGGTGGGCAGATCAGGAGTTCGAGGTCAGGAGTTCGAGACCAGTCTGGCCAACACGGGGAAACCCCGTCTCTACTAAAAATACAAAAATTAGCTGGGCCTGGTGGCGCACGCCTGTAATCCCAGCTACTTGGGAGGCTGAGGCAGGAGAATCGCTTTAATCTGGGAGGGTGAGGTTGCAGTGAGCTTAGATCGTGTCAACGCATTCCAGCCTGGGCAAGAAGGCAAGACTCTGCCTCAAAAATAAATACATAAAAATAAATTAGATAAGAGTTAAACATGCTCAAAAGAAAAGGAAAGATTTTAGAAGGAAAATCATATGGTTAGCTCACGGTCAGAAGCTTGGTAGTGATTCCTGCATCCACCACAGCCTTGTGCATGGCACGCAACGTCTCTAGCTCTGGAGCCGCAATAAATACCACATAGGGCATAAACTCTGACGTCCTCAATACTTTCAGTGCCTGTGTAAAAGAATCATAATAAGCCAATTTATACAATATTAGAACTAGAATTCTGCTACCCTTTAGTATAAATCAAAGGCTGTTTGCACTTGTTCTATGGATTAAAGGACATAATTTAATACCTATCTCCATTCTGTCATTCTCATTCCATATAGTACTTTCTTAAAATAGTGATCCATTTATTTTGTTCTAAATTCAGTCTGTTCCTCTTGAAGAAACGAAAGTATAAAACAATGATCAAAAACTCATCAAGAGTGATGTAAACTCTTTTTATGTTAATTGTAGAATTCTGTTAATACCGAAAAAGTAGAAATAACCTCAATGTTGATTTATTGGAGAGTGGTTAAATGAATATATATTCATACTATAAAGTACCATATAACAATTACAAAGAAAAAAAAGCTCTACAGTAACTAACCATAAAAAGATCTTCAAGAAACAGTACTATTTAATAAAATCCCTGAAGAATCTATGTAGAATTTTTCCATTTTTGTAAAAAGAAACAACAAAAACAGAAAACCCATTACCTTATATATATTTGTATTTAAGGCATAGTGAAATGACTAGAAAGAGACATAAGAAACTATTAACAACTCTTATCTCTGAGTAGGGAGGTGAGGTTGGGCTGAGTGTAGTGGAGTGGGAAGGGGTAGGTGAGAGAGAAACATAGAGTGAGAATAACAGGTGTGCATGTGTGTCAGGTAGGAGGGGGAGTGATTTTAATTTTTTATTCTTTATATTGCAGACTAGAGTTTTAAACTTAACATTTTTTAACGTATGCATTTATGCATTACTTGAACAGGTAAATACATACTAAACTTCTACCGTAGATCTAATCACACAGTTTCTTTTGCCACCCAAGCCGCTGTTGGCTAATTGTTCAGAGATTTATTTAACTAGCTATGTATACATAATAATATTCTCTATCACCCAAAGGTAATGGAGGGAAAGAGTCACCTTTCCACCCTGACAAAACAAACAACCCCAACACACAGAAAATAAAAAAACTCCACAGAAAATAAAATATAAAAAACAGCTTTGGAATCCAAGCAGCTTACTTGTGGGTTGACATCCAGAATGCAAGTCCGTCCAGTCTGGACAACCTCAAGAATAGAATCAATTTTGGTTCCATAGAGATTTCCTTCATATTCCCCATGTTCCAAATACTTTCCAGCTTTAATATCTGCTTCCATCTCAGATCGTGACACAAACTTATATGCCTGGCCATCTTTTTCATCTTCCCTTGGTTTCCGTGAAGTAACTAAATAAAATGGTGTTGAGACTTTCGTACAAAGAAATTGTAGGACATAAAAAATGGACTAAAATACATAGGGTGGCTTAACATTTTTCCACTTGGTGCAGCAAACTACAGCCTATGACCAAATCTGATCTGCTTCTTTAAGTTTTATTGGATCACAGCCATACTCATTTGTTTATGTATCATACATGGTTTCTTTTCCATTAAAACGGTGGTAATTGTGACAGACTGTATGGACTGCAAAGCCTAAAACTTTACCATGTGGCCCTTTAATAGAAAAAGTTTCTTGATACCTTAGAGGAATATTTTAAGAGGTAGTCCCCCAAACAAAATTCGCATCCAAAAATATGCTTCTTAAAATCACTTTGAAACTCAAAATTTTACCTAGCAGCAGAGCCTTCAATGACATTCTTAATTATGGTAAGTGTTAATAAGTGTGAGGCATGTTGTGGGTGAGTCTTTTCAACTGACAAGCACTCTCCTTCTCCTTAGGAATCTATCACATCCTTTCTTTCCACATTAACACTTCCTAAGTGTCCCAAAAGGTGAGCAAGCAAAGTTCACCTATTCTTAGTCGTAATACCAATTTTGTAAAGTGCAGTTTTACCCACAAATTATCTATCTTTTACCTTACCTCAAAACCAACCCTTTCTTTTAGCTTCCTGTTTATTGATACTCCCAAATGTTAATTGTTCTATTTTACACTTCAGTGGTAGAGCTAGCCGCCTCATTATTATTATGGTCTATTAAACTCCTCTCCTCTGACCCGACATATTATTTCTGGGAAAATGAGATTGAATAGCTCAAGTCAAAATTTAGAAGTAGGAGATCCTTTTGTCTGATATTTTATAGCTTTGAATACTTTCAGAGACATACAATCCTTTGCAAATTGGTCTGTGCTAGGAACGGTTATTACCACTTTCTAAACTGTTGCAAATGTGTACTCTCTGACAACTTTGTTAACAATAACTTTGAAGAAGAAAAGTAATTTTTGAGTGCATTTCAAGCTTAGCCTTACTCTGGGCTTTGCTGGATCAGAGACAGAAGTATTCTGTTTCTATTAGCTAAGTAGTTGCAGAATAACTGATGGAATTATGAAGAACACCAAATTAAGAAAGTAATCCAAATAAAAAGATGACAGTGTTTTGACTAATTCTGGTAAGCATAAGACATAGAAAACTTTTATAAGAACAAAATTAACTTCAAACTCATGCTCAAACATAAGGGTCAAATGAGATCATTATGTATAATAGGACTCCCGTTTTTCCCTTGTTTTCTGGCTCAACCTTGAGAGTGGTCATCTTAGACTACTGTGAAGAGTGTTTATAAAGTATCTTCAAGAATCTTCAAGATGCTATGATGGCTTCTCATATTTAAAATTGTGTGATCTTTAAGGTTTCTGGAATTAGTCACCAAAGGTGTATAATAAAACTTCAAAGGCAACTTTCAATGCTCCAAATAAATGCATAATAGGACTTGCTTCAACATTGTGAACATTAATTTTAAAAAGCAGTTTTTTTTGTTTGTTTTTTTTGTGAAGTACTACAGTGAAACCATACAAGGGAATGCACTGCTTGAAATAAATACGTATATGTACACGTACTACCCCTACCTCCATGCTGAGGGAATCTTAATTCTTAAGAGACATGTTCTTCAGTTTACAAGTGAACTTTAACTACAATCCTATTCTCTACTAACACTCCAAAAAACAGTCTACGTTGCCACATATTTAAACTGCTTTCCATTTCTAGAACAGAGAAATTAGAACATGGTTTGACTACAACTGATTCCTTAGACTTCTATACTGAGCAACTACATAATGTGATTTTTTAGAAGTAATTTTTTATGACAGGCAAAATTATTAATTTCAGCTGCTATTCAAATAATGAAGAAACAATCAACAAAGTAATACTTAATTTGTTAACTAAGCTCAAGATGTCAAGATGTCAATGTTAAAGAGAAAACAGGATTCATAACATAGCCTATCTCCCTAAAATAACAATGTTTTTCTATTTTATTTTAGGATCATTTGTAATATATAAAGAAAGTTAAATCACCTTAATTTTATAACAGAGAAAATTTTAGAAATTCAAAAATATATGGAAAATAAGCAATATACTCCCAAATAACCAATGGATCAAATAAGCAATCACAAATGAAAGAAAATACTTTGAGAGGAGATGGTGCTGTTGAAGAGCACAGTTACAGATAGAGCTGACCAGGCGCTTCCAGAGTGCCAGTTGTCCAGCAGCACGTTCATTACCTTGAAGATGTATGATGGTTGAACTAAACCCATTCATGCTAAGAAAAGGTTCTGTGGAGGGCTTTAAGCCCTTGATAATTGTCTTAAAAGCTACTGATGGGAAAAAGATCAGCACTGTGATGAGCACTAAAGAGCTGAATCATATGGCTAATTCAAACATATTAAGAGCTAAACGGATGGGCTGAAGAATAGGGACAAAATGAGTTAAGACTAAGCAGCACAGTGAAGGGCACTACATTTCTTGCTTTCACCAACTAACGGATGAATCGCTATTTCTTCTTTGGTTTTTACTTTTGGTCACAAAGATGGGTTTCCGTTCTGCCAGAGTAACCGTATTCATGTAAGATTTAGGGTCATTGTGGAGGGAAGAAGGGTTGGAACAGAACAGTTGTCATAAGAAGCCAGTTTATTATTTTAGATCTGGCTAACTGGTCTGTGTTGCATAGTTGTACATTCAGGATTATGGTTTTAAAGTCTCTGTAGCCATCTACAGAGACAAGTATCATTGAACATATATATATATATATACACACACACATATATATATCACCCACTCAAAGCAAAAGTATTTTGAGATGAATGAAAACAAAAACGCAGTATACCAAAAACTTTAAGACGCAACTAAATGCTTAGAGGGAAATCTATAGCTGTGAAAGCCTATGTTAAAAAAGATCTCAAATCAATAATCTAATTTTCTATCTAAAAAAAACAGAAAGAGAGTAAAATAAACCCAAAGTACAAGTAGAAAGAAAATAATAAAGATTATAGCAAAAATTAGAAAGTAGAAAAAATACAGAAAATCAGCAAAGGCAAAATTTGGTTGTCTGAAAAGATCAACAAAATTGACAAATCTTTACATAGACTAAGAATAAAAGAGGAAAGACTCAAATATCTAAAATCAGAAATGAAAGAAAAAATATTACTATGAACCCTGCAGAAATCCTGAAACTGATTTAAAAAAAATCCAAGTTGACCTATAACAAGTAAAGAGACTGAATTAATAATCAAAACTTCCCACAAAGTAAAGCCCAGGGTTAAATGGCTTCACAGGTGAATTTCATCAAACATTGAACGAATTATAATTAATCCTTTACATACTCTTCCCAAACAATGAAAGAGGAAAGAATACTTCACAACTCATTCTATGAGTCCTGTACTACCATATCAAAGCTAGACAATGACATCGTAAGAATGAAAACTATAGACCAATATCCCTTATAAATATAGATACAAAAATCCTTACAAATTACAAGTAACCGAATCTAGAAGTATCTAAAAAAGACAGCACATCATAACCAAATGGAATTTACCACAAAAAGACAAGGTTGGTTCAATATATAAAAATCAAGGAATGTAATACATCATATCAATAGAAGACGATAAAAAACAAAAATCATATGAACCATCAACAAAGAAAAAGCATTTGGCAAGATCTACTACCCTTTCTTGGTAAAAAGCCAACAAAGTAGGAACACAAGGGAACTTCTCCAATCTGATGAAAGGCATCTGTGAAAAACCTACAGCTAAAATGGAAAGACTGAATGCTTTCTCCTTTCTCCTTAAGATCATGAACAAGACAAGGATGTTCACTTTTGCCACTTCTATTACACTATTACACATTACACTGCAGGTTCTAGTTGAGGCAATTAGACAAGACAAAGACATAAACAGCACCCAGACTGGAAAGAAACAAGTAAAACGATCTCTATTTGCAAATGACATGATTTTGTATATAGAAAATCCTGAGGAACCCACACACAAAAAATCATTAGAATCAATGAGGTCAATAAGGCTAAAAGACAAAGCCAACACACAAAAATCAGTTTATTTCTATACACTAGCAAGGAACAATCCAAAAAGGAAATTAAGAAAATACTTTTTGCTACAGAATAAAAAAGAACAAAATACTCAGGAAAAATGTGACAAAAGCAGCATAACATTTGTACAATGAAAACCATAAACAGCATTAAAATGAAGACCTAAATAAATGGAAAGACATCTATGCTCATAGACTGGAAGAATTAATACTGTTAAGATAGCACCTGTAATCCCAGCACTTTGGGAGTCTGAGGCGGGTGGATCACCTGAGGTCAGGAGTTCAAAACCAGCCTGGCCAACATGGTGAAAGTAAGTCTCTACTAAAAATACAAAAAAAAATTAGCCAGGCAGGATGGTGGGTGCCTGTAATCCCAGCTACTCAGGAAGCTGAGGGAGGAGAATGGCTTGAATCCAGGAGGCGGAGGCTGCAGTGAGCCAAGACCACACCACTGCACTCCAGCCTGGGCGACAGAGCAAGACTCTATCTCAAACAAAACAAAATAAAACAAAAAACAAAACAAAACAAAACAAAACAGATGGCAGTAGTTCTCAAGTCAACTTACTGGCATTTCTATACAAATTATAAGATAAACTTCCAGTTGCTGCAGAAAAGGTAGCTAGAATTCAATATAATCCCTCTTAAAATTCTAGCTACCTTTTCTGCAGAAACTGGAAGCTTATCTTATAATTTATATAGAAATGTCAGGAACCCAGAAGGGCCAAAACAAACTTCAAAAGAAAGAACAAGTTGGGAAGGTTCACAATTTCTGGTTTTGAAACTTAATACAAATATACAGTAATCGAGACAATGTGGGACTGGCGTAAGGACAGACATCTAGGTTAATGGAATAGAATTGAGGGTTTATAAATCCATCTTCACATTTACAATCAATTTTCAAAAAGGGTGGCAAGACAATTCACTGGAGGAAAGAACTGTTCTTTTTGACAAATTGTGCTGTGACAACTGGAAAAGTGCAAGCAAAAGAATAAAGTTGGAACCCCCTCCTCACACTCAACACAAAAATGAACACAAAATGGCTCATATAATCTGCATATAAGAGTTAGTAGTATAAACTCTTAAAATAAAATACAGGAGTAAAATTTTGTGGCCTCAGGTTAGGGAAAGCCTTGATATGGTATCATATTTGATAAGATATGAAAAGCATGATGAGCAACAAAAGATATACAAAATTGGATTTCATCAAAATGAAAAACTTCTGTATATCAAAGGACACCATCGAAAACATGAGAAGTCACCAAAGAATGAGAGAAAATATTAATATGTGCAAATCATATATCTAGTAAGGAACTTGTATCCAGAATATAATATGACCTCTTACAGCTTAAGAAAAAGACAAATAACCTAACTGAAAAATAGGCAACCAGTTTAAACAGACATTCCTCCAAAGAAAATGCATAAATGGCAAATATGTACATGAAAAGTTGTTTGACATTATCAGCCATTAGGGAAATGCAAATGAGAACCAAAATAAGAGACAACTTCACACCCACTAGGATGACTATAATCAAAAAGTCAGATGACAAATGTTGGTGAGGATGTAGAGAAACTGGAAACTTCATACGCTGCTGGGATTATGAAAGGGTACATATACACCTGCTGTGGGAAACAGTGTAGAAGTTCTTCTAAAGGCTCAACATATAGTCACCATATAACCTACAAATTCCATTCCTAGGTATATATACCCAAGAGAAATAGGCATATGTCCACACAAATACCTGTATACAAATGCTGACTGTGGCATTATTCACAATAGCTAAAAATAAAACAATCCAAATGTCCATCAACTGATGAATATATCGATAAAATGTGGTACAGCCATGTAACCATCACTTAGCAAGGGAAAGAAAATAAGTACTGATACATGCTACAACACAGATGAGATCTGACATGTTAAGAAGCCAGTCACAAAATACCACATATTGTATAACTCCAGTATATAAAATGTCCAAAATAAGCAAATCTATTTTACAGAAAGATTCATGATTGCTCGTGGCAGCAGGGGGTGAGAAGGTTGGTGGGAAATGGGTACAGAGATTCTTTTGGCGATGATGAAGACACTGTAATAGCTTTTGAATTTTACAGTCCAGAATTCTATTCTCAGCTAATTAGTCAAATAAAGGGCAAAAAATACACATTTTAAAACACAAAGATGCAGACATTACATTCCACATACAAGAGGATGTACCCCAGCAAAACAAGGTGATAAACCAAGAAAGAGAAAGAATGGGATGGAGGAACAACAGCTTCAACCCAGGATAACAACAAAGGGAACTACTCCAGTGTTAACAGGTGGGCAGCCAGAGAGACAGCATGTAGTCCTCACTGAAGCAGAAAGACAGGGTTCTGAGACAGAGGTCTCCAGGAAAAAAAAAACAAATACAACTTACTGGATAAACAAGTCTTTAGCTTAAAAAACAACAAAAAATTGTATATACATATACATAAAATCAGGTAGTATAAGGAAAAACAGAACTCCGGAGATTCCTGGGTCACAGAAGGGGAAAGGCCTATTCAAGAAAGTAAAATTGAACTAACTGAAAATACAGCTATCTTTATATTGGAAGGACAGTCAAGAAGTCAACAGATAAGGCCTAAACTGGATACAGCAGGAAACAGCAGACTAAAGACATTATTAAGAAATATGGAACACTACCAAAAGAAATAGCAAAAACAATGAAAAGTGACTGGTTTTCATAAGTGAACCCGTGGTGAGGCAGGGGAAGAGAAGGGGTTATTTTTTCCCTCATTATATGTCTTTAAGAACTACTTGCCGAAAATATTGGGCACATATTAATTTGATAAAAGCGAAAAACTTTTTCTTTATTTCACAATTGCAGCTTTAACATACTTTGATTACAGTGAAGTTTTTGTTTTGTTAATCACTTTACTAGGATTTGTCTAAATTTAGTGTTTTACAATGCCTACAGTAGAAACAGAAGACTTACTCTGAAGGAATTACAAGCAGCACATGGGGGCAATGACAAGGCTATTTCCCTAACTTTTAAGAATTTTAGCAGTAAGAGTACTCACTGAGAATTAAACCCAAAATATACTGGACAAAACCAGAGAAACTCTAAAATTCAATTAAAAGAGATGGGGTTAAAGTTAGGCTAGGATTTGACTCAAAATAGCTTGAAGGCATCAATATACCTAAAGGAATGCCGTATTAAAAGGGGGCTTGGTCAGAAATAGAAGCATAGCAAAGGGAATTAAGAAAGCAACGTTAGCTTATCTCCTGCTTTCTTCAAGGGAGAGAACATCTAAGTTCACAAGTAAAGATTCATGTATTTCAAAAACAAAGACAAATGTGTAATAGTCCCCACAGTTATAGACAAATGTGTATTAGTCACTACAGTAAGTCACTAACATCATCGAATTCCTTGATCTAACTCCATTCTCATCAAGCATACTTCTGACATTGATTATTAAACTTTCTATGTAAATATGCAAATAGAGAAATGAATGCAAAGACCATAAAATGAGTGTTTGATTCACTTAATGGTTATACTTCTCATCAATATTATTTTATTCTATATATCAGACTTTGTAACCTTAATTAATGCTGCCTGCAGTAAAAGATGAATCACTCTTGATGTGCTATCAAAAATCAGGTTTATAACCTTGCACAACTGAGAGCTACAAGCCAGGCCATGTAAATTCATACAGCTGTTGCCACACTGGCTACCTCTGAGGGTCAGAAGCTTTCCCCTTTTCTTTACACTAAAATGGCTGAAAAATCCAACTTTTTAGACAGACATCAGTACAAGAAAATCCTAAATGCCTATCTTGCCACAATTCTTAAATATAGGCATTTAATTCTAAGATTTCTGAACTGAACAGTTTAGAGAAGCACTTGCCACCAGACAGCAAGCCAACAGCACTGCAGCACTATCTCACAACAGCTATAGAATTACTAAATTTTTCAATGTCTTTTACTTGTTCATTTTCACTGCAATAAAGAAAACTTATTTGGGAATAGCAATAATTAACGATAATAATCCCCCTCTCCTCCATATGCCCATACTCTTTCCTGCCAATTGCATAGCAAGGAAAACACAGAAAACTTACATGGTACCGTAGTTCCAAATCTAGTGGGATTCAATACTATAAACCTGTTTTTCAAGCTTCTTCGGCCTACACCTTGAGCTCCTATCAATACTAATGTTTTTCTCTGGAAGGGAGGCATTTTGGCTACCTCCTCATATATCTGGATTTCGTGACGATCAAATTCTAAATGAAAAAGCAAATAGGAATATATATTTATAGTCATCTTTTACATACATGAAAGAAATCTCTGCAATTCTGTCTAGTAATGGCTTAGCTGTCTTGATAGTTAAATATCACTTGACTTGTACCCACTTAGCATAGATTTGTTTTTACAAATTTGGTAAAGTACAATAAATAATAATTATTTTATTATTGTTTTTAAGACCAGGGCTCACTGTCACCCAGGGTAGAGTATAGTGTTGCAATCTTAGCTCACCGTACCCTTGAACTCCTGGGCTCAAGGAAGTCTCCCAAGTAGATGAAACCACAGGCATGGGCCACCATACCCAGCTAATTTTTAATTTCTTTTGTAGAGATGGGATCTTGGTATGTTGCCCAGGCTGGTCTCAAACTACTGGCCTCAAGTGATCCTCCTGCCTCAGCCTCTCAAAGTGCTGGGATTGTAGGCATGAGCCACTGTGCCTGGCCCAGTAAATTATTTTATATCTTGCTTTAAACACCTGGTCCATCCATTTGCCCTTAAAAATATGTCTAATCGGGCTGGGCATGGTGGCTCATGTCTGTAATCCCAGCACTTTTGGAGGTCGAGGTGGTGGGATCACGAGGTCAAGAGATCGAGACCATCCTGGCCAACACGGTGAAACCCTGTCTCTACTAAAAAAATACAAAAAATTAGCTGGGCATGGTGGTGCGCACCTGTAGTTCCAGCTACTCGGGAGGCTGAGGTAGGAGAATCACTTGAACCCAGGAAGTGGAGACTGCAGTAAGCCGAGATTATGCCACTGCACTCCAGCCTGGTGACAGAGCGAGACTCTGTCTCAAAAAAAAAAAAAAAAAAGAAAAAATTAGTCTGATTAATCAAGCTAGAAAAATTCTATGTTTTATCCTTATTTATCAGAGATTCTGTCCACTGAAATCTATTATCAATTTGTCAGTAGAAATCCTTTAATATAAATAATCAAATTACAGACCAGTTTATACAGAAAGTATGTATCAAATACAGAGGACAGGAGCAAACCTAGTGTGGTTGCTTAAGTTCCACGGAACGAGTGACCTTCCAATTATATAAATGAATATTGTATGGCAAATCTACAATTATCAGTTTGATTAGAAAATTCAACATACTGACATTTACTGACAACATACATTTAAATATTAAGATTTTGAAATTTACATATAAAACAAATTTTAGATACACTGTTTTCACTAGAAACATAATCCAAAAGTATAATCTTAGTGGGCAAATTATGAATTTTCTATTTTGCAAAAAAAGCCTTATGGGCATATATTTTATGAAGAATAGGGCCAAAGTGATGATTTGAAATATTATATTACCTGTTGTTACTGTAACTCTCAATCTGTAGTAATAACACTCCTTCCTTAGCTTATTATCCTAATAGCAACTCTTTCTTTGCACAGTTTCCCCACAGTAGATTAAACCAATATTAAGAGAAAACAAGCCTACTTCTGCCTTCTATATTATTTTCTTTTAGGGTGTGCTGTTTAGTTTATTACCAGCATAGAGGTAGTTCTGAAGTCAAGAAAGTACTTTTAAAATTGCCAACTGCTTTGATTAAGCCGCCAGAAATTTCTGATTCATAGAGCTGCTTTTTACTCCTGTCATCCTCTGCAACTGGGAAGAATAAATATAGTAGTTTCCATTCTTTCCCTTCCTTCCTTTTTATTTATTTATTTTTAACTTCAAATGAGTAGCCAATACAGGTCTGGGGTTTTATTCTAAAGTGTTTTTAAAAATCCTTTCAGCTCTACTGAGGTATAACTGACAAACAGGAATTGTATATGAAGTATACAACTTGATGTTTTCATGAATGTGTACACTGTGAATGATTACCTCAATCAAGCTATTAAACATATCCATCATCTCACACAGTTACCATATCTTTCTTTTTAAAAATATTTCTTTCTGCATGACTAAAAGATTTAAGAAGGAATTCTATTATATCAGACCAAGATTCATGTGGTCCAGTGCTATTTTTCTAAAAGTACCATGGTCAGTGTTATAGCAGGATACAGTTGCCCTTAAACATAACTCTTTTAACATCTTGACAAAGGCATTCTACCCTTTAGAAATGGCACATAAATTACTATTTCAAAATTCTCTGGACAAATAGTTTCAATTATAATACTGCTTCTTCATTAAGACAAGTAAAAATCCTAACCAATTTGTTTTGTTATAAACTATACTCACAAAATAAAGCACATCGTAGTATATATAATGCCAGGATTTAAATAATTTACATTATATTGCACCATGTGTTCATATGCCAATCCCTTGCAACTAGGTACTAATCTGAATTACATTCACTTAAAGCTGTATATTCAGAGTTTATGCCACACTAAATGACATATAGCTACTTCACTTGGACTTCTCAAAAAGTATTTAAAACCTACCTGCATTTCTGGTTGTGAGATACATCATCTTCTTCTTTTTTTTGCTACTTATAGTTCCACAAAAAGGTCCTGAAGGATGATAAAACAAATATAACTTAAGTAGTATGTCAGAACATGAAAAAATTGCCCTGTAGTATTTTATAGGGGAGGGAGAATTATCTTCCCAATGTTGCATCCTAGGAAGCAAAAGAGGGTGGGGATGAGTTAAGCCACTGAATTTTGATACTCTACCAGCAGGTGGCAGAACGGGATCAAAAAGATTACTTATGAGAGCTAAAGCAGAGGGAGGGATTCATTCTAGACATATTTTAAATAAATGCATTTGCTTATTTAGACAAAAGAGACAAAGAAAGGTGGTCACAAAGGACTGCTTGTTACTTATTTTGTCGAGCTCATCACCTGAATTGTCCCAGTCTCTTCTAACAAATGCCTTTCTCTTCTCTTCCAGGAACTGGCTTGGAATGAGACCAGCGCTTCCTCCCTCTTTTACATGGCTAGCCTAGAATCAAATTAACGAATTGTATATCTCAGTGACCAAAATTTGAGACCATATTCTATTAAGTAGGACAAGCAGTGGTCAGTTAAAAAAAGTCATATTTGCTTTTAAAAACAACCTTAAGATTTACATCCATAGCATTGTCAGTTAAGATACTTAAACAATTCAGCACTGAGGAATCAATTGCCACCTAAAATTCTTCATATCTGATATCTGGAAGTGAAATTTGGGGATCAAAATACAAGTTAAATTGCTTAAACTTCTTATTTATAATACTAAGTTGGAAAAGGAAAATAAACGCTATTCTATAATAAGATGTATTAACACGGCATTTTATCTAGCACCCTTTAAAAGACATTTACTGTCAACCTTAATCCTACTATGTTGGTATTTCAGGTCAAATCAAATGAAAAGGAGATACTATTTGGAATATAAAGTGTAGATTTTAATCTATGCTACCAGGAGTATGAATATCCCAAGAGTTTGTAAATTTAAACTAGGCAAAACTTTACCTAACGTGAAATAGCTAACTTTTAAAATAAGCTCCAAAGAAATATTTTAAAACAGTGGCTGGAGAACTGGCTGTTAGTGATTTATCTCACAAAGTTAGTATTTCTAACCTTACAACTAGCATAGAAAATCTAGTATAACTTTTAGCAATTAAAATCCTGAAAAACAGAATTAAAGTAACCAACCATCAAAATGCAGGGAGAAATTGAGAGAAGAATTGAGGTTAGAAGAGAAAACTAAGAGATTGCATTCATAGGAAAAAGAAAAAAGAAGGAAAACTAGAATAATTCAATAAAGGACACAGCCACAGAGAGATTTTTTAAATGAGGGATCTAAAAAGTTCAGGGGAAACCTCTTGAAATCATAGATTGTTTAATTTACCCATTTCTTAGCTGTCTCAACACACAGTGCACCTATACGCAATAATGTCTAAATTTAAATTTAAGGACACATTAGTAAGATTGCTCTCATTCTGTGATTTGTTTCTCCTTAGAAGTAGATCTATATTTTAGAGCTAATGTGAGTACCAATATCTCAGTTAATTTTAGAATTTGGTGCTAAGTCCTGGATCCTTTCCTCTTACTTCTTGTTCTTTAGTAAAACTCTCATTTGCTTTGATAGTTTAAGGCATTTCAGACTTCCTGACTTGTCAGTTTCTCCAGTTCTGAATACTGTGGTTGTTAGCTAATATAAACAATTACAAAAACAGACTTATTACTGCTGCTAGGGGTTTCTGAAAGCTACATGAGGAGAAGAAAAAAGAATACCATTAAACAGATCTTCTGAAAAAAGGAGGGAAAAATGCAGTGATAATACACATCTCTTTCCATATACACAGATTTTAATCCAAAACCTAACAAAACTGATAGAGTGAATCTCCATTTCCCAGTATCTGAGAAGAGGTGAGCAAATAGACATTAAGACCTTAAGAAATTATGCTTTACTTGCTATGAACGAACATGAGGGAGAGGAGACAAGAGAAAGACCTACTTCATAGTAAAAGACTCCTACTTAAAATAAACAAAACCCAAATATCTTTTTAAAAGGGATGACCCAAGTGAGTTCTTCTTGGTCAATAGCATATTTTAATGCAATTACCCATGTGAAAAAAACCAACTGGTCTATTCCCTAAACCAACTGGTTAGTGCCACAGGCTGGTTAATTCTGCACTTATTAAGAGCTACTTGCAAATTCCCTCCCAATTTGATCTTATGTCCACAAAATTAGTAGCCATGAAGCAGGAGCTGTTCATGTGGGAAAAATCATTGTAACAAATGCTAATATTCTTCCTGAATATTCAGATATTAACCAGATCTAAGATTAAAATTAGAAAAGTCATTGAGGAACTTCTGAGAAGCATACTAACCTGCCACCAATTTGGATCTTCTCTATTTACAATCTGAAGAATTTCTCCTTTGGAAAACTTCAATCCTGCTTCTTTGCAAGGTATTAGGTTATCATTGTATGGATTATAATCAAAATGACACTTCACAAATACCTAAAACACACAGCACAATTAAAAATACTATAGTTATATCACTTCTACTGAATTTAAAAAATCCTTGTCAAACCACTGATTTAATTGTAACTGAAAATGTATTTAGTACTTCAGATAATGAACTTGTCTCTCATAAATGGAAATCAAGTTATTAGAATATTAACAGATTTTGGTAACAAAGATAATAAAACTTCATCTCTAATATCTAACTTTAAATCAACAAGAATTTGATAATCATTCTATCCCCACCATTCTTCCACTTTCCTTCAATCTTTTCACTTGATTTTCCAACCAACACTGCATACTTCTTAAAGCAAGCAAATGCTATGATCCAATTAACATCCTGAAATAATACAGGTAGTTGATTTAAGGTTTATATTTCAGATGTATTAGAACTTTGTGAAAAGGCCCTGAAACCAAAATTAAACAATAAAAGTTCATGTCGAAGTCAGATATGAAATATATTTGGTAGTCTTAAATACTTTTCTTGAATCATCTTGCTCTGATTTATATGCTCATCTTAAATTTAAATGATCAACATTAAATTCCATTGTAAGACAAATACCAAAAAAGTCTTGAAACTATTTTCCATTTTAAATTCATTTGTGTACATACATTTCTTTCACATTTGCTTTATTAATAAAAGTATGTCAGTTTACACTGTTAGTTATGATCTCCAAAATTGGGACTATTTGGCTTATTTGCTTTAATTTATATTCTAATTAAATTATGCATTTTTGGTATTTGATGGAAAGTTCAGACCAATTGCTTTCTTTTTTCTTTTTTCAGATAGAGTCTCACTCTTTTACCCAGGCTGGAGTGCAGTGGTGTGATCTCTGCTCACTGCAACCTCTGTCTCCTAGGTTCAAGTGATTCTCCTGCCTCAGCCTCCCAAATAGCTGAAATTACAGGCATGTGCCACCACGCCTGGCTAATTTTTGTATTTTTAGTAGAGATCAGGTTTCACCATGTTGGTCAGGATGGTCTCAAATTTCTGATCTCAAGCGATCTGCCCTCCTTGGCCTCCCAAAGTATGGGGATTACAGGCATAAGCCACTGTGCCCAGCCCAACTGCTTTCTTAAAACAGACTTGTTTTATACATAGTTATAGAAATTTATAGAAATTCAAATGTTATCTTCTAAAGAACTGCCTTAGCATTAATCAGCATGTAAACTGTAATAAGCAAGAAAGCACACAATTAGTCAAAATAACAATGTTCTTTTTCTATTTGTTTATCATACTTCTGTAACCAAACAAAATTCAAATAACACAAGTAGACATATTATATTATTAGTGTGGTAAAAGTACTGTGATCAATGCATACAAAATAATTTTAAAATAACTAAATCTGGGAACATGTAATAAAATCTTAGTTATTTATAATTAGATGATTTTCACAGAAAGCATTCAGAACATTTTCAACTACTCTAGAAAAGCTAAATATTAATCCTTAAATCAGTAAGTCAATAATTTTTTTTCCTGATATATAATTTTAGATCTAAAAAGCAAGCATACAAACATTAAGATTGCTAAAGTGTGACAATTGGCTAACTTGATAATGTCATGCAGCTCCATGTTTTGACAATGGGAAAAAACCAAAATAATTAAATTTAATCAAAGAAAATTTAGTTGGCTAAGACAGAAAAATGAAGTACCAGAGAATGTTCTGGAATGACAGCATACCTGATGGATGTGTGCTGGATGCCTCTCCATACTGATGCAACTCTAAAAATATATTTGTAATTGCATAAATAAAGCCAGACTTTTAATTCATAATAAATTAAGAAAATATAAACAAACTACTAGACCATTTTATTATTTCACTCATTTGGTAAGGCAACTACCTCCCTAATTAATTGTCCACAAAGTATAATACCTGCAAGTTACAAATGATAGAACAAAAAGTTAAAGGTATTTGAGATCAGGCAGAAAGAAAGGATTGGTATGCAAAGTTATAAAAATACCTGCATACTCCTTACTTCTCAAGAAAGATGCAATGATTGAAGAATAGCAAGAGAATCCTGTCATCTAACCACGAATGTGATTACCATTCTTATGTGTGGAACAGAATATATTTTGTAACCATAAAGCTCAGACTTTACAAGATAGTCCAAATTTCAAATATTCATTCCTCCAACATCCATGGAATTGTTATGGACATGCCATTATTTGTGGAATACAAACCACATCTCTCAAAGGTAAAAGATTTCTAGAATAATTTCTATTTTTTTTTTCATTTATTAAAGTAGTTTTAGAACATTAGTCTTAAGGTCAAAAACTCAGATTAACCTGATTTTACTTTGAACTTCGAAAATTTTTCTGAAAAATCAATTAACCCAACCTTTGATCTAACCATTTTGTAATGACTCTAAAACCATTAAAGATATGACTAGACTTAGCATAATTATATTTTATTAAATGTAATTTAAAGTGTTGCACTTACAGGCTATGGATGTTAACTGCTCATTCATCATTAAGAAATGACTAAACACCACCTACTAAAATATCTATTTCATATTCTTATTACTTAAAACAACTGAATGACCAAAACAATTTAAAGTATAAGGAAAAGGAAGTACAAATGGCTTTTAAGCATAAGAGATGTTCAACAACCTCATTCAGAGTAGAAATACAAATTAAAACTACTTTATTAACACTTTTTTCCTATCAGATTAGCAGAAATCCTTGTATTTTATAACCTTCTATAAAAGAACTGTGGGTTAATAGGCATTTTCTTTCTAAAAGGCTTGTGGAAGAATGGTTCAACCTCTTGGGAGGCCAATTTGGCAATAGCTATCAAGATTACAAATGCATAAACCCTCTGACCTAGTAATCCATGTCTGGGAATGTATTCAACAGCTATGTTATGCAGATACATCCAAAATGACTTATGCACAAGATTACATTATTCCTAACAGCAAAAGATTGGAAGCAACCTAATTGTTTAACAAAAAGGAACTGGTTAAACAAATGACGGTATGTCTACATGATGTGGCACTACATTTAGTCGTTAAAAAAGTGTGTGTAGGTGATGTGTGTCAACAGGAAGTGTATGCACCAATAAGGAAATATCCTCAAGACAGATGGTTAAGCAAAAAAAATAAGGTTCAGGATAGCATGTATACTATGCAACCTTTCTATGAAAAAGGAGGTGGAAGGTGAAAAAGGATATGTAATTTTTATTTACTTGCATATGAATGAAGAAATTCTGGAAAGATAAACTAATAGCATAGTTTTTACTGGTGGGGGGATGAGGACTAGGTTGGTAGTGGGAAGGATTCGGAGGGAGATCTCAACTGAATACATACTTACATTTTTTGATTTTCAAACCATGAGGAATGATTCACCTATACAAAAATTAAATTTTTAAGGTAATAAGGATAACTGACTCCCATTTGGATTCAGATGAAGTAACAAGGACCCTCCAACTTGAAACAACTAAAAACTATGTTGATAAAATATGTGAAACAATGTCTTTCAAGATGTCAGAGATCAGGCAATGAAGACAGTGATCCCAAAAGATGGGAAGAAACAAGATGAGCTACACAATTGCCCCAGCTAACAAGACAGAGAGTTTCCAGGCTGCAACTCAGAAAGGGAGAAAGGTGAAGCCTGATGGTCTCCAAGTTCAGGAGATGAACTGGGAGACCTGGGAGATCAAGGTGGTTACAGTGCATGGAACACAGTATCAGTGAGGAAAGACTTCAGAGACAATTGTGAGGGACTCCTTCTGTTTTCAGCTGAGTACTTAATCAATGCACGTGTATGAGGAAGCTACCTGCACCCTCTCTCTGTGTAACTCTTTCCTCATGATGGTAAAGAATCATTTGAAAGCATTACAGGGAACAATATAGGGAAGTTGTATACGGTCAAGAATAGTTTCTGTTCTCACCAGGCCAGGTGGAAAAATCTTCATAATTCACAGGCCGTGAATACTTAGAAGGGTTATGAGCTAAACTACATCCTGCAATCATATCTAATAAATCTTAAAAAGCAAGATTTAAAAGAATCATCTGTATCCTAGAACAAAGGTTAAGAATGGTTATTACTAAAATGTCAAAAAATAACATGTTGGCAAAGTTGCAGAGAAAAGGGAACTGCTAGTGGAAATGTAAATTAGTTCAGCCACTGTGAAAAGCATTTTGGAGATTTCTCAAAGAACTTAAAACAGAACTACCATTTGACCCAGCAATCCCATTACCGGGTATATACCCAAAGGAATATATATCATTCTACCATAAAGACACATGTACACATATGTTCATCATAGCACTTTTCACAACAGCAAAGATATTGAATCAACCTAGATGCCCAATAATGGTGGACTGGATAAAGAAATTTTGGCATATATACATCATGGAATACTATGCAGCCATAAACAGAATAAAATCATGTTCTTTGAGCAACATGTACATAGCTGGAGGCCATTATCTTAAGCCAATTAATGCAGGAACAGAAAACCAGATTACGACATGTTCTCACTTGTAAGTGGGTGCTAAACATTGAGTATATATCGACACAAAAAGGGGAACAACAGACTCTGAGGCTTACTTGAAGGCAGATGATAAGAGGAGGGTGAGGACTGAAAAACTACCTATCAGGTATCATGCTCACTACCTGGGTGACAAAATCATTTGTACACTACACTCCAGAAACATGTAATTTATCCATGTAACAGACCTGTACACACACTTCTTGAGCCTAAAAGTTGGAAGGGCCGGGAACAGTGACTCATGCCTGTAATTCCAGGACTTTGGGAGGC